ACCGACTCCGACTCCACAAGCCGAAATTTCCTCCGACTCCTCGACTCCGACTCCACAGCCCTGTATATATATATATATATATATATATATATATATATATATATATATATATATATATATATATATATATATATATATATATATATATGAATAAAATCACACGGGAGAAAATGGAAGCAACGGAGCACCTTAGCTTTCGTCTTTTATTCAAGACATCAGTTGCCTCTGAGGGGACTCCCGTTCATTTTCCAATCCTATCCAAGATTTATCTTATCCACGTTTTCATTGTTGGTTTACATGGAGAAATATATATATATATATATATATATATATATATATATATATATATATATATATATATATATATATATATATATATATATATATATGTATATATAATATTTGTGTATACAGTACCGGCTAGAATATGTGTGTGTGTGTGTGTGTGTTATATACAGTACTTGTATGTGTAGATTCCACAAAATTCAAAGTACACAGATATCAAAGGGAACCTCCGACATCAGCATCAGTGATAAAAAGATATTTCGTATGCTATTAAATGATAACCAGACAATTTAAAATCAAATAACTTGTTTTTAAGAGATGTCAGAGAGATTAATTTGTAATTCCCCAAATTTTCGTATTTAAGGAATGTTGATTTTATGCTTAACATTCTTTACTATCTCTGTAATACTAGAAGATTGAATGTTAAGTCATTTTCACGAGTTTAGATAAACACTTTCCCACACACCTGTAATGCTGACAGAAAATCTGATGCCACATGTAATTTGATGCTGGAGTGGAGAAGAGTAAACCGCTGATAATGCCATCGAGAAAGTCCACTGCTTCAAGATTCATTCGAGTTTTTCATCATTTCAGATTGTATAGTACAGTCATTCATTTTCCAACGTTCGGCTAAATGAGAAATCCTATGAGTGTTGTTGGTGTGGTCGGGAGTTAAGTAGGAAAATTTACCTTCCACTACACGTATGATGAGCAGATGAACGCTGTATAAAGAGACATATTTTTTGTATATTGAAGAATATTTTTGCGCCTAAAGAGTGTGATAAGGAACATCAACTCCCCCAGTCATGTATTAATGGCTCATTGGTCCTTTATCTTCATTAATTTCCCCCAAACTCATAAAACTGCTTTTTGAAGAGACAGGTAAACTATTCTGCCTTAATTATATTGTCGCTATCTGGCCTAATCTATATTATAGCGCGATAGTATTAGCCACGCCTGACTTAGGCTAACTAACTCTTTTGTGGGCAATCAACAGTCCCCTCCTCCCGCCGGCCAGTGAAGACAGGAAAGCTAGTGGTAATCTTGTACTGTATTGTTCGATTTTTTTTTTTTTTAGATTTATCAATACAATTTACTTAGATAACTCGTTTTCCTCTCTCACAGCAGAGCAAACCATGCAGAGCTGCCCACCGCCTTCACCATCCCACAGCTCGCCACACTGATGCAGGTCTGTACTGTATACCTCTTTCTCTACGTCATAGTGATGCTCTTGAAAATATTCATCCAGACGACGCTGTTATTGAGATATTTTTTCCGGGGAACGTGTAGCCTGGAAGTCTGGAACAGACCTACACGAATGAATTGGCTGCTGCTTTATTTATTATTTTACATAATAATAAAACTACAATGCAACATTGAATGATAGTATTTGTTATCAGTGTGTAGTATAAAAATTATAGTCCTTCCCTTCAAAGTATTGCCTACTTAACATATACAATCGTCCTTTAGTATCGGTAAGGTGTTTAGTTATGTGATGTTTAGTAAGGCCGCTACACGCCCAAATTCATCTGCTGGGTGTTCAGAAACCACACACTAATCTTGTGTGACGTACTGAGTGTGTAGCACACAAACGTGTACCATATCATTAAATTTGTGCATTACTGGTTGTAATTACCGTACGAGTACGGGATTATATATATATATATATATATATATATATATATATATATATATATATATATATATATATATATATATATATATATATATATATATATATATATATATATATATATATATATGTGTGTGTGTGTGTGTGCGCGCGTAATATGGTTGGTAATTACACAAGATGGGTAAGGAGAATGTAACGCTAAGAAATTGTAGTTAGTTTTAGAGTATTCAGGTGCATGTCTTAAAAATGTTAAGTGGCTGAAAACAAAATCTAGCGCCTTATTTGTATTCCCCTGGGTGTGTGCAGTGATGTGTGTTGGTTAGAAAGGCAATCTAGGTGTTGATTTATGTGTATAGGTAGTGATGGGATCCTGCCTCTTGAGCTTTGAAACTCCCAGGGAACCAAGTGTGCTGTTGGTAATACTCTACAGTTTCTGATGTACTCGTAGGTCTCCCCCTCCACCTACAGTACTTCTGGCTCGGTCTCTGTAGCCAGCCTCTCTCTCTCTCTCTCTCTCCTCCCCACCTAGCAGCGGCAGGCATGAACTCCTGCACCCGAGGTGTAAAAAAATGAAAATAATTTCAGGTCATGTCAACTCGTCCATCTCCTCACCCGGTAATCATGCGGACGCCAACCTCATCATTTCCTCCATGTCAATTTCAAGCTTCGATTCATGTATTGCAAGTTTCCGTAATCACTCCATTATTGCCCTCCTCTTTCTGAGCTCCGACTTTTGCTAAGTTTTTTTTATAAATCTTACGTGAATAGGATAAACATAGGTAGTAAACTTTCTTATTTATTCTTATCTCTTTCTTGAAGCTGTTATCAGATAGTGAGAGAAGTGATGGACAGTATAACAGAGGACAAACACCGAACCCGTCATCAACAGATTCATCTTTTCCTCTTTTTTTCCAATGGATTTTTTCGCTATCGTTTTCTTTCTTTGAATTAACTTGACTGGTGGATTTTTTTTCCCCCTATCCAGGAATGATACCGTGCCAGTGCGTCCATTGGTGGATATTTTTCTAACGCACGACTAAACCTGAAGGCATCTGTTGATTTATGGATATTCTAGCATCCACAAACGTCTCTAAGGTGTCTTTCCGTTGATTGGCGGATATTTTTACATGTCAAACAAGCACGTCGATTCTCGGATATTATTACATACTCGAACAATCCTGAGGTGTAAAGAGAAAATATCAAGTCATCGTATCATCGGAGTCTCATCAACAGGTTCCATTTAGTTGTCAATAACTTGCAACTAAAGCTTCATACATCAAGCGTTAGTGGACTCCGCCTCCTTCCCTAACACCAGCTGTAGCCTCATGCTCCACCCTCTGTATTTATGTCTCTTTTTCTCTCTCTATTTGGACGTGTGTAATTATCTATTTCTTCATTTTTATTACTTGGCAAAAATTCGTTGAGTTTGTTCGTTTGTCGTTTATTAGCGAGAGTTCGTTAGGCTATTGGGAGGAATGGAAGTGTCTTTGGATATATTTGGGAAAGAATGAGAAAGGTCAGTATATATATATATATATATATATATATATATATATATATATATATATATATATATATATATATATATATATATATATATATATATATATATATATATATATATATATATATATATATATATTGAATTTTTCTTAATGCTCAGTTTCACCCAAGACGCCATATTCTTAACAGTACACGTGATTTAAATAAAGTTCTTAATTCCCTTGTGAGGAAAGATATACCTCTCTAATTACATAAATCACCTCCATGAATAACTCAATAACTGGGAGAATAATAACTATTGACTGGGTGTTTTTATCCGTCCATTTCAGCCTTTTCTTGACCTTGTTGATGGATATTGTTTTCGCGTGAGGGATTTTTTTGTGAGCGGCCTAAAGCTGCCAGTGACCAAATCCTGATCACCCTTGTTGAGGTCAGACTCCAGACCATCGAGGTTAAATTATCGTTGCGAGGGATTACGAGGTATTGCCTTCTAATTTTCCCTTTAATTTATTGAAGATTATCTCAAGAAATTGTGTTGAGATTGTTCAGAGGTCAAGGCCGCGGTGGTTAAAGGTCATTGGTCCGTCTCTTAAGATATTGGTTATAATATTTTTAATTAGACTGTGGCTTTCAGTGCCTGTAGCCATCAGTGCCTGTAGCCATCAGTGCCTGTAGCCATCAGTGCCTGTAGCCATCAGTGCCTGTAGCCATCAGTGCCTGTAGCCATCAGTGCCTGTAGTATTCAGTGACTGGCCATCAATAACTGAGGTCGTCGTTGGCTGTAGTCGTCAGTGCCTGTAGCCATTAGTGCCTGTAGCCATCAGTGCCTGTAGCCATTAGTGCCTGTAGCCATCGTGCCTGTAGCCACTGTGCCCTGTAGCCATCAGTGCCTGTAGCCATCAGTGCCTGTAGCCATCAGTGCCTGTAGTATTCAGTGACTGGCCATCAATAACTGAGGTCGTCGTTGGCTGTAGTCGTCAGTGCCTGTAGCCATTAGTGCCTGTAGCCATCAGTGCCTGTAGCCATTAGTGCCTGTAGCCATTAGTGCCTGTAGCCATCAGTGCCTGTAGCCATCAGTGCCTGTAGTATTCAGTGACTGGCCATCAATAACTGAGGTCGTCGTTGGCTGTAGTCGTCAGTGTTTTTAAAGTCAGTTTGTCTTTTTTTTCATACATCTTATATTGTAGATCTATTTGTTGCAATGTTTTATGAAGGAAATTCAGGTCATCAATACTTTACAATATTAACTTTTCCTTCAACATATGTGTCTGTTTTATTTTTGTTTTCGTACTACAGTTTCTTCATCTCTGTTAACTTCAGTCCTCTC